ACAACCTATCTCCAGCACAAATTTCATCCCTAGAAAAGATACAAAACAGATGCAAAGAAGGTAATCCTTGGCGCCCCACAATGGACTCGGATCGACAACCTCAGACAAGAAGCAAATCTCGTTTCCCTCAAAACGAGGATCAAGCTTATGGTTGCAAATTATGCTGGAAAGTGTATCTCTAGAACACACACACCAGATACAGACACGTTTTTGCAAAACATAGTCTTGAATCCAGAGAATTTTCCTCTCCACAATATGCCATAACACCACAAATTCCTTGATTCCTTGGAAGACCTCAATCTCCTACAAGCTATCAAAGAAAGAAGAGTCGACAAACCACACCAATACCATGGGAATCTCCCGAAGCAACATTCATCAAAACAGCCTTCCAAGATCCAAAGCACTAGCCTCTTCCACAGACATTAAAAATCTAGAATGCCGTGTCAACTACCTTGAACAGCAACATGATCTCGCTGTCATATACACTGATGGATCATTGGACATACATTCCAACAGAGCAGGCTCAGGTTCTATTCACAAAGACCACATATTCAACAGCAGGATCAGTGATGGGTCTTCTTCCCTTAAAGCCGAGCTTTACGCCATCCAAGCAGCTCTGACCCACTCCCTTCTCCTCGAAGAAAAGCAAATATATATACTAACAGACTCCCTCTCAGCTATCCATGTTCTGCAACAAGAGGCAATAATAGACAATATATCCCTAATCACTGCTGTCCACTTGAAGATCAGACAGCTAAATGAACAGAAGAAACTAATATCCTTCATGTGGATTCCTGGACACATTGGATTACAATGCAACGAGGATAGTCTGCGACAAGGTTACATCAAGGTCATCAAACCTAGCCTTAATAAGATCAGAATACGCGCCAGAGAAACAGCACATGAAATATCCAGGATTGAACATCAAGTCTGGGTACAAGTGGGATCACTTTCTGCAACGAGGTACAGAACAGCCACCGATTACAACCAAATCACCATCCCTAAGACAATGTCTAGACGAGAAGCCGTCACCATACACAGGCTCAGACTCGGATACAGGTGCAACTGGGAGATACAATTTCGTGTTCCGAAGGCTTGCACTCATTGTAATGAGATTGTTGCAGAATCACTCCTCCATTATATATTAGAATGCCCCATATTACATGCAATAAGACCACACCGCTTTCAAGTGCTTCCAGATATCCCAGTTGAAGAAAAGCTGAAGTTAGCTGCCCTCTGCACTAAAACAATCCTAGAATCCGAAAATACCTTCAAAACAGTCTCACGTTTTCCTCCACCAAGATAACAATGGAAGACCTCGCCTTTATAATTCTGATTTGATAAGTTGATAGTTCGACTAATGTATCATGTTTATTTTCATCCTTTCTCCTTGCTTACGTATAAACTAGATTATATCAAGTAGATTGTTTCAAGAAGTCTAAGTCGGTATGTTCCACGTCAATTCATTTAAATATTTATACTTCATACTAGTTCTGTTACTTTCAACGTAAATTATTAATGCCTATCTA